GATAAAAGAAGTTCCTTACTAGAAGTTCAAGCTCAAATCTAGGAGCGCATATTGTTACAATTTCCTCTCTTCTCAAACCAAAATTTTATCATTCTATATTTTGCCTTGAAAGGTGAAAATATATAATTACCTCTAACAACTACAAAATCTAGTTAGTTCATGATGTCCTTATTTATTTATTTTATTATTACTATTTCATCATTCATGATACAAGTGAGGTTGACCAATTATCAGCCCTTTGAACTTTTAATGGGCCCCTTATTCAGGTAGCTACAAAACCAACGGGCCGTTTGATTGGTTTGCAGTTGTTGAGTTTAATCATATTTGAAAGTATAAGATTAATAATTAATCTCAATTAAAAGTTAGATTAGTTCACACAGGCGGCTTCAATTTAATCGGCAGTTGTAATTAACTACATATTTTTTTTTTTTTGAAAGAAGTTAACTACATGATGACGCGCAATTCTATTGATCTCAAATAATATGTATGTTTGGACCATTGCATCATTTGCATGTATGTATACAATACGAAGTATTTATCTTTATATATTCTTGATTTTTTGACCTAATTGAAAAAGAAAAGAAAAAAAATAAACACATAAAGACAACTTAGATTCGCCAAAATATCTAAATTATGCATAGGTATTATAGGTACAAGAAAGAGTTCAGCAGCCTCAAAGATAAAGTTTATTATCCAAACCTGACTTCTGAAAAATGCGGTATTTCTTATTGTAGACTTGGAGTATACCTATAAAGTACAGTTAATTGATTATCAAAATTTGGTATATTTTTGGACATTTCATGTTACCTTTGCCTAATTGGAGCAATACTACATCACATGTAAAAGAGTAGGCATTATGGTGATTTTTTTTGTTCTTTCTTACTTTTTCATACTAAATAATTGGCCCTTGTAATTTCTACAACACTTCATTAGATTAAAAGTTCATTAGATTAAAAGTACATTGGAATGTTTATCTTTATGAAGTACATGAGAAATTTTACCAAATTAAAGAGAGCTTCAATATCTGGAACTTTGTTGACTAATAGGCAAAAAATAATTGAAATGAACTACAACATTTAATTCTATCCCACTTGATGCTCATTTCTTAGCCATTTTAACACAAGCCACCAATTCAAGTTACTTACTTGATGTTTTGCCCTCCGACTTTGTCGACTACATGTGAAAAGGAAATGATCTTTTTACTGAATGACTAACAAGAATTTAATTTCAAGTACATTTCCCCCTCTTTTTTTTCATTGGGTTAAATTTCAAGTTTCAACACTCACCTACTTTAATAAATTAAGTTAAATTACATTAGTAGTTATACAATTTAAGGTCTCTCTAGTAGAAGAATGATTTAAGTCAAAATTTGTGGAAATAATTTGATACAAAATACTATGTACTTTTTTGCAATGAATTGTCCATACACATTCAAGTATCTATGTAAACTAAGAACGAAAATGCTTAAAATTCTTTGACATTTTGAAGAAATAATTTCTCAATTATGATTTGAGATTCTCAATCACCAAATTAAAAATAAGTGATGTACGTGTTTAAATAGCTAATTAGCCAAGCAATTAGTATACACCTAATCCTAATTCAAAGCAAAAGTAAGTAACAAAAAGGAAAGTCTAGTCTCTAGTAGAGAACAATTATGCATGGAAAGAAATGTTGTTACTAACAACGTTGACTTTGAATAATTTTTAATTTTTTAAGGTTGCTTGCTGAAGATGGGTCAAGAAACAAATATAGAGGGAAAAAATAAAAACAGAGGCTAATGGAAAATTTTTTAATTTTTTTTTTAAGAAAGTGGCCGACAAAACTTGTAAAGTGGGGCAACCCGGCAGAAAGACAAAGGGTTACTGTTTTGGGTCCGACTTTGCATGGGCCTTGTGGGTCAAGTATAAACCTTGTCGCTCAGATATCCTGTCGGTTTGGCTTTCTCATTTCTATTAATATACTTCTTCCTGTCTACAATTTTACTTTGATTTCCTTTAATTTTGACGATTTTTAACTTTGAAATCAAGTAACATACATAAGTTCATCTTCATCCGTTCCAAATTTAACTCTTACATTTTTTAATAAAAATAAAACTGAATTAAAAAGAATAGAAAAAAAAAAAGTGGTGCTACCCTACTAAAGAGAAAATAAATAAATGAGAGTGAGGGATAGCTCAAGTGGTTAGAGTTCTCCTCTCAGTTCAGGTAATCCTTCGCCTTTATGACTCTAAACACCAAAAAAAAAAAGAGAAAATAAATAAATTATATGCGATATACACCAGTTTCAATTAATTTAAAAAAAATCGGACCAAAAAGGAATTTGTGGCAAGTAATTTGTGATTTAAGTGCATAAGTAAAATGCAAGTAGTTACATTTTAGGTATAGTCCCTTCAAGGCAATTTTTTTTTTTAATTTTATTATTATTTTTAAAAAAAAAAAAAAACAAATCTGATCCTATATAATAGTAGTGTAATGGATAAATGGGTCTATTTGGTTAGAATGTGATGACTTTGGATATGAAAAATTGAAAATACTTAATAATAGATTACGATTCAATTTTATTTTATTTTTTTTTTTAATTTCAAAAAGCCTAAGTATAGCATTTGTTTTTGAGAGGTAGAAGAAAAGGAAGAAGAAGAAGATTCTTGTCTAGCCTAAGTATAGCATTAATATTATCATTATGATGAGATTTGAAATAGCTTAATTATTATATCCCAAGCATTTGATAAAGAAGATTGAGATATTTGCAACTACTAAACTGTATTATTAGCAAAAGAAGACTATTGGTAGAATCTCAATTGCTACTTTTAAAAATCAAATTACACATTTGTTGTTGTTGTAATGAAAGAATTAATTACATTATTATTTTGGTTTACAATTTAAAAAATATACAGATGACATTTAACTAATTAGAAAAATTGTATATGATAGTGTAAATTATAGAATTTTTTTCAAGATGTTTCACTAAGCTTGTAGACACAAATCTAGCTAATTAATAACATTGTGGTCCATGATAGAATTCTGGCAAAATACTTTATTGATAGATGTTAAAATCAAAGTTTCAAATTGAAATAATCTAGATTTTTTGTATTAAGTATTAATACGCACTCAACTACCAATTCATACATACATAAATTGTAATCACGTTTTCAAAGAGGAATAAAGGAGGAACAAAATCACTTATATATTAAATTCACCAATGTAAGTGGTTGGAATTTCCTATAAATGTTACTACATCGATAAATTCGGTAATATTGACTTTTATTGAAAGAATCAAATCAGCAAACTCTTAATATCCCCAAAATTAAATGAAACAATTATTTCAACAAATTAGAGGAGATATCACATTAGTCTACCGTTTTCTAGACAATTGTTATTGACTAAAATATATTGCTCCTCCATACAAAAACTAAGTGGCAAAGTATATTATCAACCCTATCATAATCTTTTGATTGTTTCATGCATTTGTTGAAAAATTAGTACGTAAACAAAGCCTTTATGTATTATTATAAACATTATACACTTAGTCTAATGTCGACTTTTGTGCAATTGTCTTATAAACTTCGAGACAGCAAAATCATAAAGCTAGAACAATTTCTCAAAAGTATAAATCTTCCTTTTCTTTTTGTGCTTTGTTTTCAGCTTTTTACTAACCACCTTTTAGTAAGTTCCACCGACTTTATAAATAAAATTAACCAACATCCCGGATGTTAAGTTATCACTTTTTTACCGCGCGTACACTACATGCATATTGTAGAACCATATTATTACGCATTAGAGAGAGAGAGAGAGAAAAAAAAAAAGGGCAAAAAGAGAGAAGAAATAATAAAAAAATTATGACATAATGTATGATCGGTCATTAATTCAGAATCAATAATATTAGATTATTTGAATTAATTGAGATCTAATTAATTAAGTTTTGACTAATCACCAACCAAATCCACAAAATGAAATAAAAAAAATATACGAACTAGTTCTCATAAATATGGAGATGCGTAGCTTTCCTACAAGAATATGGTCGGCCCCGAAATTGGAGCACGTTCTAGCTGGTACTTACTAGAATACAATTAGTTCACATTTACTTTTATGCTACATTGGGGAAATTAATTTGCTTGAACTACGGCATTTATCACTTAAGCAGTGTTCATGGCAAGTCTGCTATTAATAGATCCTCATATTTAAAAAAAAAAAGTGTATATATTTGCCTTACAGTTATTTTGTGTCTAATATATCCTTTTTGCAAGGATATAGTATAATTTTATTGATAATGTTTAGGATATTAAGGGTATGGTTGATCTAAGACTAAGATTTGAAGTTATTCTAATTGTGATAACATACATTATTAGATCCGGAAAATCTTGTGTGAACCTGGTTTACAATAATATTATTGTGGACCTGAGGTTTATATACACACGGAACTGATGTTATATTGAATATAGTAACCGTAATTTTAACATAGTAACCTTATTTTTAACATAGTAACCTTTATTAAAACTTGTATGACCTTTAATGTTATTAAAAATTTTATTAAAAAAAATCAACCTCTTATAACTTTTATAATGTCACGATGAATTTTATTTCAACATAATAACCTTTATTTTAATATAGTGACCTTTTTTAAATTAATAAAACAATTATGGTGTCTCTAATGTTAGTGGTTCACAATAAATTAGTGTGAACCAAGTCCATATAAGAAATTGTGTATTAGATCTACCTCAAATGAACTCATTTATAACTCACAAGTAAGTACTTATTAGTTATTATAGCTATTTATTATGTAGTTTTCAATAAATTTGTTTATGAGCTTTGCTCATAAGTAATTAAACTAATACGAGTAATAACATGTCGTGCATGCATACATTTTAAGAGATCAAAAAAAAAAAAAAAAAAAACATTGTTCATGATCTAATTTTTTCTTAACTAGCAAAAAATTATTTAACCGAATACTGATCCATCTGGAATTTAATCATATGTAATAATTTATAAACCGTTAATTAATAACCATAAAATTAAGGTTGTACAATGGTTATTACTACTGTATAAGTTATAATACTAGTGGAAAATCTTGTACCAAAAATTGTAGGGGATTAATGTTTGAACCATCAACCTGATGACACCGATGGTAATACGAGTAAAGCACTTTTTATTTTGTAAAATGGGAGAAAGAAAAGGCAGTAATAAAAAAAATAAAAGGAACAAAATAAGCTAAGATTTGTCTCTCATTTTCATAATAAGGAGAAGCCAAAAGGGTCCCACAGAAGTAGCTAATAAAGCTGACATGGCAAAATGAGTTTCCTATAAATAGTTCCAAACTCAGCACAATCAAAGTCATAAACTCCTCCACTTCTACAACAACAACAACAACAACTCATCCTCTCTCTAAAACACTTTTTCTCTCTACAATTTCATCACTTTACTTCGTTTCCACACCAACAAAAAAAAGCTCATCACTACCTTAATTCCAGCTTGCATTTCATCAAATCTCACTGTAATTTTAATTTAATTTACAATGACGATGATCTCGAGCTTAGCTGGCACCAATAATCACGGTCAAGATTCTTCTTACTTCCTTGGTTGGGAAGAATATGAAAAGAATCCTTACCACGAAATCGATAACCCGGATGGTATGATTCAAATGGGTCTTGCCGAGAATCAACTCTGCTTTGATCTTCTCGAATCATGGCTAGCTAACAATCCCGAACCCGCTTCGTTTACCAAGAATGGTAAATCGTGTTTTAGAGACCTTGCTCTATTTCAGGATTATCATGGTTTACCCGAGTTCAAAAAAGTAAGTTAAATTACTCGTACAATTGTACATTAATGAATTCTCTTCGTTCTATGAATTTGTTTGTTTTTTAAAAGGTTCAATTATTGATGATACGTACCTTTGCTTGTTACAGGCTTTCGTAAATTATATGTCCATGTTGAGAGGAAATAAAGTCACATTTGACCCTAGTAAGCTTGTTCTTACCGCTGGCGCTACTTCGGCGAATGAGACCCTTATTTTTTGCTTGGCCAACCCCGGCGAGGCGCTTCTATTGCCTACTCCATACTACCCAGGGTGAGTATTGGTTAATTTATAATTTCATATACTTATAAATTTTTATGGTACGAGAAGATAGATAGAGAGAATTATTGGACCAACTTATTGAACGTAGTACGTTGTATGATTTCAGGTTTGATAGAGATCTCAAGTGGAGAACCGGGGCGGAAATAGTCCCAATTAAATGTTCAAGCTACAATGGATACAAAATCACCAAGTCTAACCTCGAAGAAGCTTATAATTCCGCCCAAAGGCAAGGCCTAAAGGTAAAGGGTGTCCTAGTGACAAACCCATCAAACCCTTTAGGCACTACCTTAACAAAGGAAGAAATCACGCTTCTCCTCACTTTTGTATCAACAAAGTCCATCCATCTAATCAGCGACGAAATCTACGCTGGTACCGTGTTTACTGGGTCCGGGTTCATGAGCGTCATGGAGGCACTCATGGACAAGAAATGGGCCAACAACAAGGAGTTGATTGAGCGTGTCCACATTGTGTCAAGTTTATCCAAGGACTTGGGCCTCCCTGGATTTAGGGTTGGAGCTATCTACTCCAATGACCCGCTTGTTGTCTCAGCCGCCACAAAGATGTCAAGCTTCGGTCTCATCTCGGCCCAAACTCAGTACCTTCTTGCAGGACTATTGTCCGATGTTAAGTTCATGAACTACTACATTGGTCAAAATCAAAGCCGTCTTAAGTCCCGACACTCTAAGCTAGTGTCAGGACTTAAGAAAGCCGGTATCAACTGTCTAGACAGTAACAGCGGCTTATTTTGTTGGGTGGATTTAAAGCATTTACTTAACGCCCCAACTTTTGAGGCCGAAATCGAGTTATGGAAAGAAATAGTCTACAACGTGAAATTGAATATTTCTCCAGGATCATCATGTCACTCGGCTGAACCCGGTTGGTTCCGTGTTTGTTTCGCGAATATGTCCGACGATACGTTAGACCTTGCCATGCAACGCATTAAGGATTATATTGATGTTAAGTTCAACAAAAACAGTCATCATGCTAAGAGGAATGCTAGAAGAATGAGGTCACTAAGTAAGTGGGTTTTTCGACTGTCGTTCGACGGCGATAAAGTACCGGAAGAACGATAGTTTGAGTCATCAACACCATGACCACCACCCACAACCAGTGTGAATCTCACATTCTTCATCAAAACAAGTAAATTATTATATAATTTTTTTTCTTAATTAAGGATTAATTAGTGTGAACACTAAGCATGTATCCATGTAATTTTTCATTTTTTTTTTCCCGCCGCTGCTGTTTTTAGTTGCTTGATTGGCAGGGTACAAAATTTCTGTTTTTGGAAGGGTCGGCCTTGTTTTTGAAGGAAATTGATTGATTAACAATTCAATTTCTTTTTAGAGGAGAGATAAAAGAAAAAGAAAAAAGAGTAAAATTGTAGAGTCTTCAGCTAGCACTCGGTCCATGTGGACACGAAGTGGCTTTGATATTAATTAATTACCCATTGTTTACATTATTCTTTCTTGGAAATAATAATTGAATTTTTTTTTTCTTCTTACAATATTATTACTCGTTGTTGTTCTCTTTGAAAAGTCAACTAATTTAGTTAATTTTATTCCGTAGTTCTTACTTCTTAGTGGTAAAAATAAAATCAATTTTGTGCCTATACCTGATACCGTATGTATCAAATAAGATTAACGATTTTTTTGACAAGGGAAAAAAAGTTACCGATGTAATGGTCATACCATAATTAGAGTAATCAACAATTATTATATTTTGGTTACCTCTTTTTACTTTGATAATGACTTCCTTCCTATATTCAAAGGTTAGAGGCTAGGAACTATACAAGAAGACTTTTTTTTTTTTTTTTTTTTGAAGAAAACAGTAAGTACATTAATGAATAGAAAGAGAGTCAATCAATACATACGGGGAAATTTCATCCGGCATGAAATTTTCCCAAAACTGTTCACGACTATGTGGCACTAACCGAGCTAGGTGGTGGGCTACACAATTCCCATGACGCTTTACATGAGACCAAAATATACAAGAATACTTTATATACTTGGTAATTCTCAAATCGTAATTAAATAAAGAGGCAGAGATTCTACCGTTGATGTCTAGTTGGTTAGTTAAGATCCCGTTGAAAAAAGTCCGGTAATGAAGTTATTGATATTAATAATGTGATGCATTATGAAGTCCTATGATTGGGTTGGTGGTTCTCAGCTCGTAGTTATTTACAACATACATCTATTATTAATTTCAATAATATAATTATTAATTTTTCGGGGGAAGGGGGATAATGGATAATAAATGCACTAATAATATAAACGACCAAAAAATAATGACACGTGGACGTATATACATCTTCTAGATCAGTTTATGTTGCTTGATAAGTGCACAAACGTGTAGTAAATGGTTAGTTGTTACTAGTAGCGGCGAGATTAACGGCGAGTTTGGCCGGTTTTACTACCCCTTACACTTAACCGACCACCACTCTTTTCATGGAGTATGTCTAATTAATTTTAATTTTAATTTCTCTCTAATTATTTGGTGGAACGTCATTTGAGCCGTTATAGTAGGATTAAGAATTTAATTTCTTGGGAAAACTTTATAATTAATATAATCATATGAAGATTACTATAATATATGCTTAGGGATAAGCATAAATGGAAGGAAATAATGATGAGTATAGTTAGGAAATAATGAAGAGTTAGTAGTGTTCGTTGGATCTTTTTAAGAATAGGAGAGACAAATCTTTCTAGTAATAAGATAAAATCTTTGTAAAAGCTAACTTAATGATGAATTGAAACTATCCATATAGTGCATTGTATTTGAATGCATGGAATTATGGAATGGTGTGATGAATTGAGTGAAAACCCAAGTCATGCATGTTTCCTACTTAAGGCTTGCTTAATTAGTTACTACCACTTGCTACTAGTACTAGTTTCATTCAATGCTAATAATACTTTCCCCGATTTATAAAGTTCTTCTTGTTTAGATGTACATCAGTTATTGTCTCACAAAATTATCAAAATAAGAACTTTTATGCATTAATATGAGGGAGTACAAGTTTTCAATACATATATACTTGTATTTAATACAAAGTATGAATTATCGTGTCAACTGTCATTCCACACTTGACAACCTCTTTAAAATAAATTTTAGAAGGAAGTAATTTAGGGTTCGAGTGACATAATATATGGAGTAAAAAAATGTGAAACTTAAGCCTTTTATGTACTTGGCCTTTTCATGACATTTTGGTAACAACTAATTGATCGACTTGTAAATTCAATACGGAGTAATTGTTCATTAATGTTACATTGACTTTTCGCACTCCTTAAAAGTTACTTGTTGATGATCTCACCCAAGAATATACGGGAATATAAAGTCGGATCGAAGTATTATATAGAAATAAAACCCTGAGAGGAAGTTGCGATAACAAGTAATATCAACCAACACACCAAATAGGAAATTTAAATTTAGCAGGAAACTCCCAAGTCAACCAACCTGACGTTGGCGGTGAATGATGGAAGTCAGTTTTTTTTAATAGCTTGATTTTGATTTTCGATCTTTTTCTATGTTGCAAAACTAATCTAACGACGGAACGTACGTTTAAGGAATAAGGACTAGAGCATCAGCTAAACTGCTATTTGCGCAAGTTCTATGTTTTATTACGTCAATTAAAGCCAAAATAAACTACGTATTCTCTTCTACTCTTCTAGTGCATGACTTTAGCAAATTTAATGGATACGGACTACGGAGTATTAGATTTACCTAGAGTATCTAACCTTCCTTCATACTCTTATTAATCAATTTCATTCCCCTTCAATTTAAATAAGCAAATAACATTTGTATTATTCTTCATCAATCCCTATATTTATATTTTAGTGTTTAAATTAAAAAGAAAAACTATAATGTAATTGTTTTATTTAAATTTTAAGTAGTTAGGACAACAAAGTCCAAAATTGACAATTTGTAATGGACCACACAATGATTTTTCTTGTTTAATGTAAAAGTTAACTCTAATTATGAGATGGTATTAGGGTTGTTAAACATATATTTTTTTGTCAAATAATTGAGTAGAGAACGAATTAAAATAAAAGGAAAAACTAAAACAAATGTACACTGTAATATCTTAACATTATTTATGAATGAGATAAAATACTAATTTTTCCTCTTTTAAAAGAAATTTACTATCGCACATCTAGTCTCCAATGAGGTTTTAGATTGAAACGAGACACCACCTTTGACTGAGTGGTGGCAATTATTAGGTCTTATATTATTACGTGTGTTGGACTAGCCTTAGATAACTCCAAGATGATGATGAGATATACTTTGACTAATTGGCTACCAAATTATTAGTTTGGAAGGCATGCAAATTTATATTGCCTAGGTATTTAATTTCATTTTACTTCATATGAGCTGAGTTGAGCTAGGATAGAGCTAAATCTTATTGAATTGGTGTAGTTTGACCAATCCACTTGACAGAGAGGTCAAAATTGAGCGATGATCAAACTTGACATGGTTTAGTAGGAAGTCAATCCAAATCAAACCACACTCACTATCATTATTTTGAAAAATATATAATGCTTCTTTATTACCATAGAGATACCAAACTTAATTACAACATCCAAGTAATAATTATTGGCAATAAAGGATGAATAGAGCCTTCCTTGACTGAGCCGAAAAAAATCTCTACTTAACATTTATTTATTGACATTAGAATGTTATTTTAGATAGCTTAGCGATGGAATCTTCAGGAAAATGTCACTGTATTAGCGACAAGTTGAATCCATCTTTAGATAATTAGCATAAATATCATATCCTTTGTCAAAAAAACAAGTTTTAATGAGCATCAGCTCCAGATAAAAAAAAAAATTAAAGATGATGACACAAAATCTTCAACTCCAAATATTATCTTGTATTATTCTCCTATGGCCTTCTAATGATTTTTTTGGTTAAAATATTCATTTATATAGTTAAAAGATATCTGATTTTATTTTACAAATTAAAATGAGTTCAATTCCTTGAAACGCGGCTATTCGCTTACGATTATGATCCCATGATACTTGCATGTGAGTATGTGACAAGTGGTAGTTAGTTTGGTTGCGTCCATACACTATATATTACCACTAAATAATAAGTTAGGAAAACAATTTTATTAATATTAATATTATTTATATTTTTAATAAAGGGTTACCATGAAAAAACTATTTTTAATAAAGGGTCTAATTATGGAAAATTCTAAATGAAATACTTGAACAAACATAGAATTGAGAATTTTGGTCGATTTTCATGTTATACTTTGACTATATACCATGTGCCTCAGATATTTTTTCTTGCTTAATTCACTCTTACTCGTGATACTTTATTTAATGTAACTACTATTTATCGATCAAACTATGGTATACATTAATAGATTCAGTCATAAGCTAATAATCTGCCCCCATGATAATATGATATACTTATACATGTTGATCACTAAGCATATGCATATACCCCCTTAATACCAAACAATATATAATCTTGGATTCTTCATATCTGAGTTAATATTAGGTGATCTAATAACGTACTATCACATAAATTTAAAATTATACATAGATTCAATAGATGTGAACGATACGGTTAGTCTTTTATACGTATGATGAGCATACATATGCTCATGCAATATTTTTCATACTCGTGTTGATGCATTATCAATTCATGCCTTGTATAATAAAACACGAGAACTTTATAGTTAGGTACGTATATAGATACACAATACAATTCCATTCCGTTTGATATAGGAATTAGTTCATTCGTTCTATATATTATTAAGTCTTTGTGTATTTGATTTGGGTGTTGTTGTAGTCTAACTTAAATCATTTCAACAAAGATAATTTATTATTAAAATTCTTACATGAGATCATGATTTATGGATCAGCTATTCAATTTCATAACTGGGCGGCATGGCAGTTTAAATCAATGATATAATTTTTAATACAGCAACCCAATCAAATTGGGGGATCATCCACTAATTATTCAAGCATGATCTCGGTAGTTGCGACGAAGATGACTAATTATAGGAAATAACTTGATTAAGATAATCAAGATTATTATTCTATAGTTGGATATGATTCTAATTAATTAAATAATGTTGGTTCTGTAAGTGACCAACATAAAGTATTACTGTTTGGTATTTAACCTAGATCAAAAAGAGGGGGCATGACAGTTCATTAAAGCAACATTGAAGGTCAATAAACTTGGCTAATTGTCAGTATGTCAAAGAAAATTAGCCAAATTGCAGACAAAAATGCCTTAGATTTTAGAAGCTGTTCCTCGACAAATAAACCTAAAGACAGAATTTTGACACTAATTTGTCATCCTTAAGGACAAGACTTATACGGACCAAAAAGAATTTGACTAACAAGTGTATTTAGGTTATTGTTGTTTTATCTGTCTAAGTACAGTACACGTATTTTGCGTGGAAACTCTAGAGAGTAGTCAAGTGTTACTAAATGGTTATTTGCTTGTACTGATGAATTTCCATCGAAGAGGATGGTCGAGCGAATCAACCACGCGAGAAGAGAAGAGCTTGATCAATCGATTTGAAATATATTCAACTTGTACTTGAACTTGACTTGACTTGAAACTGTGTAATCATGAACTTCTCATAATCACCTCGAA